AGAACAAGCTAAGGCAGCCGTACACTGGTCCGACGATCAAAGAGCGAGAGACAAGAAAGCTAAGGTTCACTGAGCCATTTTTCCCTCCACCCTTCAATTAATCCCACTTGTGTTTATCAGCCAGGCTGGCACAATAAACTATCTCACTATTTTACACCAACAATGGCAGCCAAGTAAAAAACAAAGAAACAAACAGAAAATAGATTTAATTTTGTGGAGAGATTGGAATCCTCACACACTGCTGGTGGCACTGTAAATACATATAGCTACTGTTGAAAACGATATGCTACTACCTCAAACAACTAGGAATAGAAATGCTATATGACACAGCAATCTCTCTGCGGGGTGCATATCCTAAAACAGTGTCATGGGACTAATAGACAGAGGTACACCCATGTTCATTGCAGCACTATTCAAGACGATAGAAACAACCTAAATGCCGAGCTGTAGAAGAATGGCTAATGAAACTCTGGTACATACACACAATGGAATTCTATGCTTCACTAAAGAATAACGAGGAAACCACAAAACACTTCATGGCATGCATGCACCTGGAACACATTATGCTGAGTTGTCTGATACATAAAATCTATGCCAATAAATCTGTTTTAAAAATAACATGATAAAGATTTTCATCCTAAAGGGAACCAGTGGAGATTGTCATGGCAGGTGATGGGAAGTGGAGAGCAAGGGAGGAAAGATAAATCAATGTACTAGACTGTTGACTGGCGCTGATGGGTAAAGTGGAAGTTAGGAGCCAAAAGAGGGAGAAGAGAAACCAGGGTGTGGGGTAAGTGAAAACTACTAGGGGGGTTGACTACTAGTTCAAACTGCTGATGATCTGAAATGTAACCCCCCACCTAACATAAACAATTGCAATACAAAAAATAAAACCGATTTGCTATTAGCAAAATTAAAACACATACTGAACTACATACCTATTATATGTTCATGGATAAGAAGAAATGACTAAGTCACTAATATGAGGTAACATTTTATCTAGGAATTTTCAAGCACAGGAAGGAAAACATTTTTATTTATGGGCTTTTGAGTTAAGAATTATTAGCTGTATTTACTGTATCAGAACAGGGCACTTGATTTCATCCCTCAGATCGCCTCTTCCTCCATCTTTCTTGTCTCAGTCAGTGGAACAACCATCTCCTCATTTGCTGAAGCCAAATTTCGAGACATCTGCTCAGCTTTCTCTTTTCCTCCTTCTCCAGTTTGACCCTTCTGCCGACTATGGCATCAACACTTCCACCTCTATGAACCTGAGTCTGAAGTTCAACTCCACTAGCTTAGAATACCACCAGTCTCCCAAAGCCGTTCCATGACTTCTCTTTTGCACCCCTTTTCCACTCAGCAGAGTGCTTTTATAAAAATGTTAATCACACATCACTTCCCAATTTAAAAGCTTCAATACCTTCCTACTATTATCCTGCTATAAATATTTCACTAAGAAAAACTGTATAAGCCTCTTACCTCAGTCTACTATTCCTACTTGATCTAGTCCTGATCACTTCTCCAATCTGCTATCCCCACCCTCACCCCTTTATATACTGTAGACACATTGGCCTGGTCTCATCTGCATAAGCATACTAAAACCTTGTTTCCTTGTGTGCCATAAAGTTGATTCCAATGCATCGACCCTATGTGACCAAAGTAGATCTACAGTGTACATTTTCCTACACTGTAATCTTGACCAGCGGGCCACCAGCTCTTTTCAACCACAGAGCCCTTGGTGGGTTCAAACTATACGTTGTTTAGCAACTGAGCACTTATTCCACCAGAAGTCTTTACTAGGGCCTCTACCTGGATATATATATAATTTGTTGTTGTTGCTGTTGTAAATTATGTGGGGGGGGGGGTTACCATTCAGATAACCATTTTTTGTATTTAACAACTTAAAACAACGTATCTAAGCTCCCAATGGCTTGTCTTGCCCCCTCCCTTACCTTCTCTCTCCTGTAGGCTAGTATCTTCCTTCCCCTATCCTCCTGAAGTCAGTGCAATAGTTAGAAATCATCAAAGGAGGAATGCATACTATTGAAATGATCAATTTATCACTTAAAAGATTAACTTTGAGGGTGGGGTGGGGAGTTGGAAACGTAAGAGAAAGTAGAGGGAGGGGAATGGGAGAGGGAGGGAGGAAAACGAAATCATATGGAAGCCAGAGAGGGAGTTCATAGCATGATTTCAATGTTCCTGAGTCTGGACTTGGGCACCACGTCTTGCATTCAGGAAAAGAGACAGGGGCCAGGTGAAGTGGGGTGGGGGCAAGAGAGAGGGTGCGGTGGGGAACTAGGGCGAGAGAAGCTCGGGAAATCCAGAGAGAGGAGCGCAGTCCAAAAGCAGGCTCGGAGCTCGCCGGGGCTGCAAGCGTTAAGGGGAGGCGGGGAGTGACGCTCTGTGCGTCTGGAGCGGCTCCCTGGAGTCCACAGCCTCCACCGCCGGAGCCTCGCCTTCCTTTCTGTCTCTGCAGACATAGCGAGACACAAAAAGGGAAGCGACCCCTCGACCCGCGCGAGGGGCCCACACGCACGATGACCGAGACCACCAAGACCCACGTTATCTTGCTGGCCTGCGGCAGCTTCAATCCCATCACCAAAGGGCACATTCAGATGTTCGGTGAGTCCTCCCGCCCACCCTCCTCTCGCGCCCCCGGCACCTGTGTTTTCCGGAGCGCCGAGCCGGCGGGCGTGTGCCCCTCCGGCGGGGTGACCCGGTGGAGCAGGCCCTGGGAAGCCAGACCCCCTGGGCTGGGCTGGGCGAGGGGCCGCGGAATTCGCCCCCGAGATGCCTCTGGAGCGGGACTCGCCGGGGGCCCGGATGGGGGAGGGGAGGGGCCCCGAGCAGAGTGTCGGCGGGGCGGCGAGGCGACCACTTGGCCAGCGGGGCCGAGGATGGGGCGCGGGGAGAGCGGCAGGGGTTGGAGGGAGCGTGCTGTTTGTTTAGGATGGGCTGCCAGCTTGAAGGAGTTAAATGATATCTACGCCTGCGAGACAAACCCACTCCCGCACCCAACACGCCAATATCAGGGCGATTGATTTGGGGTGTGATGGTTGCGGCGGCCGAGGCGCCAGTGTTTAGGGATTGTGGAGCGGGTGCTGCTCCCTCGAGGTGAATGGGGTGGGGGCGCCCTGGCCCCCTGGCTCTGCCTGTGGGGACTCGCTGGCCAAGGGGACGCGGGGGCGGGGCTTTCGCTGCGGTGGCCCTTCTCCAGCCGGCGTGGATGGATCCGGGCCCAAGTTGGCTGAGGTCCTGCCCAGGGCGGTGATGGCACCCGGAGGGCTCCCTGCGCGCGGGTGTGTACGATTGTGTGCGTGTGTGCGG